AATGGATCATTGTACTAAGAAGAAGGGGTGAGAAATACAATGCCTTTTCCTTTCAATTCAATGTCAAACTTCTTCTTCTGTTCATTCATATTGATTGAATAATTAGTAGCTGAGCTGCTGATTCGAACAGTTAAAATCAAGTGTGTAATTTACAGTGAAAATCGAATTTGTAAACTCTTATCATGAAATTTCATTCTCAAGTAACTTGACTAAAGACTTAACCACTTAGTTGCATCAATGTAACATATTTTACCTCTCTAATGTAACTCATGAATTTTAAGTTTTGAGTCAACTTAATCGAATTATTGGAACTTATATATGTTTTAATATTCGCCATTGACTCCCAAGTTTTTCCTCCCTATTTCTCTTCCTTTAAGATCGAGTTAGGGGTTTGCACTTACTAGTAGTAGTGTCTATCCTAATAAAGTGAAAACGTATCAAACCCTTATGCATATTAAAAACATATATATATATATATATATATATATATATATATATATATATATATATATATATATATATATATATATATATATATATATATATATATATATATATATATATATATATATATATATCTGTTTTTACTTCATGCATAAGTTGACTGTATCTTTTCTGCCTTACTGGCCTTACTGGTTTGTTCTCTTGGAAGTTTAAAGAGCCTTCTTTGCTGCTAATCTATATTAAGTGTGTTATTCCCTATATCCTATATAATTGCTATTTCTATTTTTATTTCATGCATAAGCTGATTATATATATATATATATATATATATTGCTGTAATGGTTTGTTCTCTTTACTTGAAAGGTTAAAGGGCCTTCTTTGCTGCTAATCTACATTAAGTTGTGCTATTCATTAAATCCTGTGTAGTTGTTATTTCTCTTTTTATTCCACACCTGTTCTGATTGTATGTTTTTTGCTATACTGGTGTGACCACAGGTTGGGAATGGGATCATCAGGAAGAGGATCCATGTCCGCATTGAGCATGTTCAACCTTCCAGGTGCACCGAGGAGGTCAAGGAAAGGATCAACAACAATATAATGATAGGCTCAAGGCCGAGGCGATAGCCGCCAGAGATGAGCAGTGGCGGATCCAGAAAATAATGTGAGTGGGGGCGTACTTAACTTGAGATCTCACTTCTAAGAAAAAATTGCATCTTCCACAATTTTGTTTGAAGAATTTGCTTAGACAAGATGCTAAAACATATAAAATGCTAAAAGTGAGTTTTGAACCTTGGACACTCCATTTTCATATTCAAGATTCAACCCATTAATCTAAAACACTTTAGTAATTTATCTATGTACTTATATATTAGTAGAGAGGGTTGAGGGGGGGGGGGGGGGGGGGATAGTGGGCCATTGTGGCTCCGCCACTGGAGGTGAGGCGATTAGCACAAACTCGGTTTTATGGTGGAAGGTGCCACTTTAGAGACGGTTACACCCATCCCATACGATGTGGTTAACGATCTCAAGGGTGGATACTAAGATGTATCTTTTATGAGAATAGTTATCATGATCAGAATTTGATGCCATGTTGGAATTTTAATTTGTTTACAACTTGTCTTCTTTTTGTACTACTTATTTATTGAAAAGAATTGAAAAAAGAGAAAATAGAAAATGGAAAGTATAAGAAAAAAGAAGAGAGAAAAACTATGATCCAACTTGGCTAGCTGAGGAATGTGAACGGCTTGTTCTTACGATTTGAAGCAGAGAGAAAACGAAACAGAATGGGAACAGAAAACTGTATATTATTGTGTATGTATGAAGAGATAGCTGGCCACCTTATATAGATGGTGTCAAAGTGGAAGACGGTTATAACCGAAACTAAGCACCCTTTTTGAATTACAAAAATATCCCTTTTTGCTACTTATTTATCATCCTCTATTACCCCCCCCCCCCCCCCCCCCCCCCCCCCGTAAGCTGGAGAGTGGAGATTCTGAACTCCCAGCTTAGATACAAACGTAGCAAACATCTGAGTGGCTAGTGGTTTCGTCATGCCATCTGCAATCTGATTGAGCGAAGAAACAGGTAGAAGTTTGATCAAGCCTTGAACCACTCTTTCCCTTACCACATGGCAATCAATTTCGATGTGCTTAGTCCGTTCGTGAAAGACGGAGTTCTCAGAAATAGCTATGGCAGATTTGTTATCGCAAAAAATGATGGCAGGAGCAGTGACCTCAACAAGAAGGTCTTGGAGAAGGAATTTGATCCATTGTAATTCGCATGCTGTGGAAGCTAATGCACGATATTCAGCTTCGGTAGATGACTTGGACACCGTAGCCTGCTTCTTTGCACGCCATGACACTAAGGACTCCCCAAGAAAAACGCAGAAACCCGTGACTGACCTGCGAGTTTCAGGGCATGACGCCCAATCTGAGTCCGAGAAGGCTTTTAGGGTGTGAGTGCTGTTTGCAGGATATAGGAGGCCTTGTCCAAGGGTCCCTTTTATATATCTAAGCACACGATGGGCATCAACCATGTGCGTATCTGTAGGACTGCTCACAAATTGACTGAGGTGATGAATGGTATAGGCGATATCAGGCCGAGTTGCTGTCAAATACAGAAGTCGCCCAACCAGCCTACGATAGCCACTTGGATCCTCCAAAAGCTTGCCAGTTTCTTGTGATAGATTAGAGCCTGGAACCATCGGGGTAGGAGCAGGTTTGCATTCTGTGAAGCCAGTATCACTGAGAATGTCGAGAGCATACTTCCTCTGACAAAGGTTCAGGCCATCATCGTTTAACTTAGCTTCGATGCCAAGGAAATATCCCAGAACTCCGAGATCTTTGATCTTGAATTTGGCATCCAACATGTCCTTGAGTTCCTGTATTAAGGTCATATTGCTACTTGCCACAATAATGTCATCAACGTAAACAAGTAAGGTGATAAATCTGTCAGCACTGCCCTTTGTAAACAAGGATGGATCAGCACTTGATTGCCTAAAACCAACACTTGAGAGGGTCGTGGTTAATTTTGCATTCCATTGCCTGCTCGCTTGCTTCAAGCCATAAAGAGATCGGGTGAGCCTGCATACTTGATTTGGTTTAGCTGTTTGGAAGCCCGGGGGTAGGAGCATGTACGCTTCTTCGTCAAGATCACCATGAAGAAAGGCATTATTGATGTCCATTTGATGGATATGCCAGCCTTTGGAAACAGCCACTGCTAGGAAGGATCGGATAGTGGTTAATTGAGCTACGGGAGAGAACGTCTCTGTGTAATCAACTCCCGGCTGTTGTGTGTAGCCCTTAGCCACTAACCTAGCTTTGTAACGTTCCACTGACCCGTCTGCCCTGAGCTTAACTTTGTATATCCACTTGCAGCCGATGGGAATCTTGCCTGTAGGAAGATCTGTAATCTGCCAAGTATTGTTAGCCTGGAGAGCCATAATCTCGGTTTGCATAGCATCCTTCCAACAGTCCATTTTGATGGCTTGATTATATGTTCGAGGCTCGGTAATGGATGTAACAGCCATAGTGAGAGCTTTGTGTGAAGGTGATAGGTTGTCGTAGGAGATGATTTTGGACAAGGGATGAGGGGAAATTCTCTGTTTTACTACTGAGTCACAGTAGTAATCATGCAGCTTGGCCGGCAATTGTCTATTTCTGCTAGACCGGCGAGGGGAAACATGATTCATCACTTCTTCAATCACATTATCTTCTTCTGTGGATGGACTATCTTGCGTACTGTTAAGAGTCTGAGTATTGCCTTGCATGCTGTTTGGAGCAGACTCTAGGTTGGCACTGGGAGCAGATAAGGGGTGCGGCTGGCTGCTGGACATCTCATGTGAGATGTGTGTGGTCTGCCCAGCACTTCTAGGCAGTAAGTTGTTACCACTATCTTCTTCTTCATAATCCATCATCATTGTAGCAGGAATGTTGGGCAGAGGAGGATTAAATAATTCATCATGGCTCATAACATGCTCAGACAAGGGAAATTGTAGCTCATAAAAGACCACATCACGGGATATGAACACCGATTTATCAAGAAGATCATAGAGAATATACCCTTTAATGTTGGCAGGCATCCCTATGAAGATGCATTTTCGACCCCTGGGCTCCATTTTATTTCTTGTGTGAGGCAGTGTTGATGCAAAACATAGGCATCCAAAAACTTTGAGTGTGGCAAGGTTTGGTTCTTGACCATGCAGTCTAAGATATGGACTGGCTCCATGGAGAACTTGTGAAGGGAGACGATTAATCAAGAACACAGCATGCATAACACAATAACCCCAGAAATCTAGGGGCAAATTAGCTTGAAATCGAAGTGATCTTGCCACGTTAAGCACATGTTGATGCTTCCTTTCCACCACTGCATTTTGTTGGGGTGTATTAACACATGATCTTTGATGAATAATCCCCTTGCTTGCATAGAAATCCTTCATATCAAATTCGTTGCCATTATCACTTCGTATCACTTTGATCAAAACTCCAAACTGTGTGGAAACAAAGTTGTGAAATCTTTTCAACAATTCCTGTGTTTCTGATTTTCTTTTCATCAAGTGTAACCAAGTGTACATTGAATGATCATCAACAAGAGTTAAGAAATACTTTTCTCCCTTCATAGAAGCAACAGGAAAGGGCCCCCATATATCAGCATGAATTAAATCGAAACAGGCAATGGATGATGAAGTACTTAAGGGGAATGGAGATCGTTTGTGTTTGGCCAAATGACAAATATCACAAGCTTTGGTGGAAGTGGAAAGTTTTGGAACATCTTTAAGGAGATGTAGTTTATTAATTCATAGGGAAATGTCCTAGACGTTGATGCCAAACATCAACTCTATTACATTGTGAAACAATGGTATTAGAACTAATTTCAGACTGCAATGGCTTCTTCATCATCACATAAAGCCCCTTTTCTTGTTTAGCCAAACCAATCATCATCCCACTTGGTTTCTGTATCATGCACTGCTCAGGAGAAAAACACAAGTTATAATCTGCATCTTTAACTAACTTGCTTACTGAGATTAAGTTGAAGTGAAAGGTTGGGATATGCATCACATCCTTTAACAATAGGTCTTGGCCTAGTCTCACATTGCCTCTGTGCTTAACAATGATCTTTTTCCCATCAGGTAGACTGACCTCATCTCTGTCAACAGCATAATATTCATCAAAAAAATCAATACAGCAAGCAATGTGATCTGTAGCACCAGAATCAAGTATCCAAGAGTAGTTGCATAATGATAGGAAATTAATGTGAGAGATGAGAGACTTGCCTTCATGACTTTCATCAAATTTTGGAATCAAAGTCACAGCAGCTGAAGTGCTAGAACCTGATTGACCTAGCTGATTCTGGACTGCCATCATGAGCTTTTGAAACTGATCAGTCGTGACTCCCAATTCAAAAGTGTTACTCACAGTGGATGTAGAACTCTGTTGTCTAGCCTTAGATTTGTAACCTTGTACCCCCCCCCCCCCCCCCGGGGGATAGCCATGCTTTTTGTAGCATTTGTCGATAGTGTGTCCATTCATTCCACAGAAAGTACACTTTGGCTTGTTACCACCTCCATTGCTTGTGAATTTCCTGCCATTATATGTGCTTGCTGCTGCAATTAAGTCATCTGTGGATGTTTGAGGACTCTGGACGACATTTGCCTGACTGAAATCCATTGAACTCGAGTTTGCTGCATTGATATGCCTATCCAACTTCTCAGCCATGACATAGACCTTGTATACCTCAGGTAAGGGATCCAGTACAAGGATATTTGATTTCAGGCTTCCATAGTCGTCATTTAAACCTTGCAGAAACCGGATGAGCTGATCAACATCGCGTTCCTTTCGAATTTGCTCGATGAGACCATAGGCACTTGGTGAATCACATCTGCAAGCCGGAAGCGGTCTCAAGGTGTTCATCTCCTCCCACATTGTCCGGCACTTCGTGTAATACTCACTGACTGTCATGGAGTTCTGTTTCAATCCATAGATCTCACTTTGGAGGGCTGAGATCCTTTGAGCATCGCACTGAGCGAACCTCCTCCTCAGATCCTCCCACACTTCGCCTGCTTTGTCAAGATGCATCAAACTTTTAGAAATAGATGGATGTACTGCCTTAAAGATCCAGGAGCACACCATCAAATTGCATCGTCTCCACGCCTGGTACTGGACATGCTCTCTGTTAGGTGTTGCAACACTGCCTTCAACAATGCCCCATTTATTCTTCACTTCAAGGGCGATCTTCATGGATATACACCAAGAGGTGTAATTCGAACTACCTATGAGCGGAGGACTCACAAGCACAGCATTCGGATTCTCAGCTGGACTGAAGTATAGAGGATTGTTTAGATCCTCCATCGCCTGGCTTCTTTGTGTCTGCGACGGAGGGACCTGTTGCGTGTTCGAGGTAGGAGTCGTGAGAGCCGGCGATCCGATCACCGGAGCTCCCGTCTGTTCTCCTTGACTAGCGTCACCGGAGGCAGCGGCGGCGTAGGACCTCCACCGCTGCTCTGATACCATCTTACGATTTGAAGCAGAGAGAAAACGAAACAGAATGGGAACAGAAAACTGTATATTATTGTGTATGTATGAAGAGATAGCTGGCCACCTTATATAGATGGTGTCAAAGTGGAAGACGGTTATAACCGAAACTAAGTACCCTTTTTGAATTACAAAAATATCCCTTTTTGCTACTTATTTATCATCCTCTATTACTTGTGGAGCGCGATTGGGTGGTTCGGATTCATTATGTGTTAAGGGAGCAGACTTTTACCGGCATCAAACATGTATGTATTGTTAGGTTTCTCCAATTAGGGTACACTATGATTCCACACATCAATATCAATCTTATTACATTGCATATGGTTAAACTGAAAGAGACTCACGTCATCTCATCCATACCTCATGGATTTCTATATCTATATTCTATCATCTAGTTGAATGCAATCAATTTGCAAACATATTGATGTAGATTAGCAAGTATTAGTGCCATTTGTGGAATGCAAATTAAAGTCAAAATATATACGTTACTAGATATATACTGTTGAAGAGATATTATTATTATAACTAATTAATTAATACCCAGACGTCTATAATAATAAAAATTAAAAAAAAAATGGTGGAAGAAAATGAATGTAATTGATCATCTTGAGGTTGATAAAGTGAATAATATAGCGCATGCGTCATTAGCGTGATATGAGCCAAAAACGCCCCTATCCTTAATTTACATTATATATATATAACCTTTGTATGTATATATAGTACCAAGTTTTAGTATTAGTATAAAAAAACAGATGAATATTAATCAAGAAATGAGTTAGATTAGTTGGCAAAGCATATGTTTGGTTATAATGAAAGTCATGAGTTTAAATCTTAGCTTTAACACAATCATGTTTTTAATATTTAATACACACATATATAACATTCTTTTATATTAATAATGAGATGTGTAATTTATAATGTGTCTTTTATTCAAATTATTTTATCAAATTAATTATGTTTCATATTTTGTTATGAATATTTTTATAAAGTTTCATGGTTCCGTCCCTGGTCCTATCATTTTATAGGCCCAGGGTGTAGGAACATGCAAATTATATCGTGCACCGCAGTGCATAATCGATTATGCACCGAACTTCAAAACGATGTCGTTTTGTTTAATGAAAAGAAACGGTACCTGTTTCGCGCCGTTCCGCACAATGTAACTCTGTTATTCAGTTTCATTTTGTATACACTGCAGTTTCAGTTCAACACAACTACAGTTTCATTTCGATATAACTACATTTTCATTTCGATATTTTATATACACTATAGTTTCATTAAAACACAACTACATGATCATTTCGATATAACTACCCAGCTTCATTGCACAATATACACTCAAATGTTATTCAGTTTCATTTTATATAAATTGCAGTTTCATTTCACCACAATTATAGTATCATTTTGATATAACTGCAGTTTCATTTGACAATATATAAAAGAGTTAATTCCGGCAATGGTCCTCTGACTATTGCGATTTTCCAAAATTAGTCCTCGTCTTTTAATTTGGACGAATTAGACCCTTGACTATCAGTTTTGTTCCAGCATTGATCTTTCCGTTATTTATCATCTGTTAGCCGTTAGTGAAAGGGTCAAAATTGTATTTTCATTAGTTTGGTCTCATCTTCCTCATGTTAGTCAGTATATGAATATATTTGACGATTTTCAAAAAAGAATAAAAAATGTATTTGATGCAGCAAGACAGTGTTACGCAAATCCAAAACCTAAATAATAAAATTCCTCCAAACTCCATTGCTCTGTTCAGCCAACTCCATCTGCTTTGTCAACACTACGTATTAGCAAATTGAGCCTGAAATTGAATAACAAACGAATTAGCAAATCAAAAAAACTCCCCTTTTCTCATTCTTCTTCTTCAGAATCAAAGCAGCAAACTTAAAAGCTAAGATTTTATTTTTTTTCTCTCTCTGTTCATTTCAATGGCGGACGTTTCGAGTCTCCACCACCGTTGCCGCCCACAACCCACGGCTGACGCTGTTTCCTTCGTCGTCAACGAGGAGCCCAACATCTAAATCACATCTAAATCTTCGATTACGACTACATTTTGCCTCCCAATCCCGCATTTTATAATCCTCCATTTGTCGATTTCAGTTTCGAGGAGGAAAACCCTCCGCCGTCGCCGCCGGCGAAGTCAGGAAAGACGAGTAGTTCCAGGGTTGGTCGTTAGAGCCCAGCAGGGCTTCGCCGAGGCAGAAACCAGCCGCCGTGCCCTCTTGGATGCCGCCACCGTCAAATTAGCGTCTGGGTCCTTTGTTCAAGCATAAGCAATGGAGTTGGTGGACTGTGGAAGAAAGCAATGAGATGAAATGACTGTTGTACCCCTCTACTTAACACCTAACAAACTGATACTTAATGGAAGGACCAATGCTGGAACAAATTTGATAGTCAAAGGTCTATTTCGTCCAAATTAAAAGACGAGGACCAATTTTGGAAAATTGCAATAGTCAGAGGACCATTGCTGGAATTAACTCATATATATATATAAAATAAACGTGAGGCAGTGTTCGTTTAGATACACTGCAGTTTCAGTTGGTAATTAACACACCCAAAGATGCGCGTTCCGTTAACAGTAACGGTGCGCCGTTTCTTTACTTAAGAAACGACGTCGTTTTGACCACGATGCACGTGCACTGTGGTCCACGATATAATGACTTGTAGGAACACGGTAAATTATTGTGTGGACCATGGTCCACATAATTGTGTGGACCATGAATATCAGGTACATTTTTAATATATTAAAAGTACATTATTTTTATACTGAAGGTACATTATTTAAAATAATGTACCCTTAGTATATTAAAAATGTACTTTTTATTTATGGTCCACACAATTGTCTGGATCATGGTCCATGTAATAATGATTGGACAATCATTATTGTGTGGACCATGTCCACACAAGGTGTTTGAACCATATTTCGTATAGTATAAAATAATGTATATTTAGTACAAATAATATACATTTAGTATATTAAAAATGTCCTTTGTATTCATGGGATGTACATTATTTGAATACTAAAAGTACATTATTTTATATAATGTACATTCAGTACACAAATAATGTACTTTTAGTATATTAAAAATGTACTTTCTTTGATGATCCATATAACATTATGTGGACCATGGTTCACACAATAATTTGCCATAGTCACAAAAATGAGCACTATATTAAATTAATATTTTTTTTATAATTAAATAAGGGAAAATACTAATGTCAAATAACTTAAAGATTCACAAGTTTTTAACAATTATACATACACATGAACACATTTCTAGATTCATTCCTAATAAATCCAAAATAAGTAATAACCGGTTCTTTATTATTATTTATTATAATAATAAATTAATAATTATAATTTATAAAAATGAATAAATACTTTAAAACCAAATGAGCTTATAGAGCAGAGAATCACATTATTATTATAATAAATAATCAAGTAATTTTTAATAAAAATTTATAAAACAAAACTTACAAGAAGAGCAGAGCATAAAATCTTAATTATTCGGAGCAATAAATAAATCAAAATACTCTAAACGTGATAAAAGATATTCATAATAAAATATAATACATAATTGATTGGATAAAATAGTTCAAATAAAGAACACATAATAAATAACACATCTTCAATATTAATATCATATTTAGAAATATTTTTTTCTTTGAGTTAGATCAATTTCAAGTTTTTCTAAATTAATTTGAATATGATGATGCACAATAGGACTTCTAAATTACATTGACTAGATAATTTATCACAAAAAATAACTATTTTAAAAAATATTTTTCATAGCTAAGTCACAAAATATATTACATATACATAACTCATTATAAAGTTCACAAAATAACACATATTTTAAATATAAGTAATAAATTACTGGAATAAGAATAGACTCAAAATTTAATATGAATAACAAATCAATCTATATTATGAATCTCACTATAATTATAGAAAGGTAAAAAAATTTTAAAAAAAAAATCACAAAGTTACCAATTAAATTTTAAAAAATATGTATCCCTAAAGAGTAGAGAGGAAAAGATCAATGTATAAATACGCATACAGAGATTCAATTAGTGGATCTTAACCATGCAAACCACAAACCCTACCAACTCAACTAACTTCCAATTCATTAATGCAAATCTATACTAAATTATTATACTATATCTACAATATATAAAAGGGTATGGTATCGGCTAATGGGCCTCTTCCAACGTGGACCCTGGGCAAGGGCAGAGCCTGCTCATTTGAGGGAGGCTAATGTAGATTGCACTACATCGCGCCCTTGCAAGTTATTTTTTTATTTTATTTTTAAATGCTTTTGCTTGTAATATATGCATGCAGAACGTTATATCATCCTTTTATTGCAGATTCTATGTGATTGCTAGGAACATAACTCGAATAGAGGTCATTACTCATATCGCGATCATGTGTGAAGAATTTGATCATACCCATATGTCTACGTTGAATCAAAGTAACACAGATGCCACAAACTCCAACCACATTTTACTCCCACCACATTTTACTTTTTGACAAATCTATACCCAACTTAGCCTTTTCCCTTGTAATTAAATACAAAAATTTCAAATCCAAACCCACAGACCAAGCAAAGACGGGAACTTTGATAGAGTAAGGTTTACCCTATATGTTATTTTAATTTATTCTTTTCATATCTTTGTTGTGTTATCTTCACATTCAAAACATTTGATATTCTTCCTTCACTTCATAGCTGAAAGAGCCCATGAAACATCGGAGAGGGCAGCAGAGGAGAGTCACGACGGTTCATAATCTTTATGAGACTTGCAAGGAGGTGTTTGCGAATTCAAGTTTTTACTTGAAATTTCTATCTCCCAAGCAATAGTTTGGAAGATTAACATTATGTTTGGAGTTATAATTGTGTCATGTTGTGCTTCAGTGGTCTCAAAAATCACAATCCATACACTTCAAGAGTTAGTCGCATCCCTGCATGGATTTTCCACACTTCATGCGGCTAACCTCCGGCCACGAAAGAGTTCTTTAGATGTGAAAGATATTGGCGTGCTTCTGAGCTCAAAAGTCGTGAAAGTAATCGACAGTTCTAGGAGCTTTTATGTAATCAAGACGATTCACACCAAATGCGATATGGATTGCTTTCAAGAGAACTACGAAATCGAAATATTACGTTCATGATGCGCTCCTTAGAGTTGCAACAGAAAATTAGGAAGGGTTTGGGTAGAAATTAGGGAAAGGAAGAGAAGAAGAATTTAGAAAAGGAAATCGTGATTGTTATTCAGCATAAGAAAATACTTCTACAGCTCTCTACTCCATTTAAACAAGGAAGGAAAATACAGTTGAGCAATCCACTACCGAACAATTCCGGATCATAACAAACTGTTAAAACGACTGGCAAGAGTAGTAAAACGACATCGTCTGAACGGCCTTCAACTTATTCCAACGACCCAGGGAACGACGTCATCTGATGTTCTTTGTAAACGGCTTTTAACCTCCCTTTATCCTACGACGCCGTTTTGTCCACCTTCTCCAACCTCTTTCCCTGCTCTGCCACTTCTCTCCCATCCTTTCTTAACCTAACCTTCCTCCTCCTTTTCCCACTGATAGAATCATTGATGTCAGTGTGTAGGGATGTTACATCTCCCCCTCTATCACTTGATCCTTGTCCCCAAGGATCAAATATAGGGAATTGACTTCTCAAATGGTGATACACTTCCTATGTGGCATCCTCTGTGGGCAAGTTAGCCCACTGTATTAGTAATTCCACTACAGCTTTGTTATTTTTCTTTACAAGTCTTTTCCCCAGGACTGCCATTGGTTCAGCTAACAATTGTCCATCAAGTCCAACAGCAGGAGGATCAAGTTGTGCAGCTACCCCATCTCCAATTCTCTTTTTGAGTTGAGATACATGAAATACAGGATGGAGCAGTGTTCCTTGTGGTAGTTGGAGTCTATAAGCTACTTCCCCAATCTTTTCTATTACTTTATAGGGCCCAAAAAACTTTGAGGGTAGTTTCAGATTCCTCCTCAATACCAAAGATACCTGCTTATAGGGTTGAACTTTTAGGTAAACCCAATCTCCCACCTCTAAGGTTCTTTCACTCCTCCCTTTATCAGCTTGTAATTTCATTCTTTCCTGAGCCTGTCTCAGGTTTTCTTTAAGACCAGCCAGTACTGCATCCCTTGCTAGCCAATCCAACTTCCCTTCCACAGAATACACTCTGGTAGCCAAAAGTGGGGGTGGATAACCATATAGGGCCTGGAATGGGGTACATTTTAAGGATGAGTGGTAATTGGTGTTGTACCACCATCCTGCCAGATGAAGCCATTTTGCCCAACTCTTAGGCCTTTGAAAAACCATACACCTCAAGTATCCTTCCAAACATTGATTCACCTTTTCAGTCTGCCCATCTGTTTGAGGGTGATAAGCAGTAGATAGATTCAGTTTCACTTGCATTTCCCTGAACAAGGTCTGCCAAAACTTACTATTAAAAACTTTGTCCATGTCAGACCCACTGCTCCTTGGAAGGCCATGCAATTTGTATACATTTTCCATGAATAATTCAGCTACACTCTCAGCAGTATAGGGATGAACAAGAGCTATGAAGTGAGCATATTTAGTCAACCTATCAACAATTACCAGGATGACCTCCTTGTGATGGGATTTGGGCAAACCCTCCACAAAGTCCATGGATATGCTCTGCCAGGCTTCCTTGGGTATATTCAAGGGCTGCAAGAGGCCAGGGCTTGCCACATGTTCATTTTTACACCTTTGGCAAATGTCACAGTTTCTCACAAACTCCTTGACATCTTTTTTTAACCCTTTCCAGTAGAACAAATGCTTCAGCCTTTGGTAAGTACCAGTCTATCCTGAATGACCCCCAATAGATGAATTATGCAACTTCTCTATCAGTTCCTTTCTGAGGTTCCCTGCAGTGCCCACATACAGCCTATTTTTGTATCTTACAAGGCCCCCAGATACTGAAATTTTCCCATTGGCAGCAGGAGATATTAGTGCAGTAGTCAAATTCTCAAAAGCCCATTCATCTTGTTCATAGCTTTTGATAATTTCTTCTATCCATTGTGGCTGTAAAGCAGAAATGGAATGTAGTGTGGGTTCAGCCCCCTCCGCTCTTCTGGATAGTGCATCAGCAGCAGCATTCTCTCTTCCCTCCAATCCAAGTAACTTTGTGAGGCCCTTTTGTTGTAGTGCAGTGGTAATTTTCTGTTCCAAGAGGAATTGTAGGCTGTGGTGATCAGTTTTAATGATGAAATGCCTTCCCAAGAGATAGAACCTCCATTTATCCACTGCATTAATGATGGATAAATACTCCTTTTCATATATGGAAAGTCCTAAGTGCTTGCCTTGCTGTAAAAAGCCACAGGCCTGCTTTCTTGAACCAGTACTGCCCCCATACCTTTGTAGCTAGCATCAGCCTCCACACCAAATTCTTGTTGAAAATCAGGCAAGATCAGTATAGGGGAGTGACAAATGGCCTTCTTAAGATTTTCAAAAGCTACATCAGCCTCCTCAGACCATTTAAATCCATCTCTTTTCAACATATCTGTCAGTGGCTTACTAATAATTCCATATCCTTGAATAAACCTTCTGTAATAGCCAGTCAAGCTTAAGAATCCCCTCAAAGCCTTCACAGTATTTGGTTTAGGCCATGCTGCCATAGCTTGTAACTTAGCAGGATCTGTGTGTAACCCAGCCTTGGATATAATGTGGCCAAGGTATTCCACTTGGTCTTGTGCAAAGGAACACTTACTGAGTTTGGCTAAGAGTTGATGCTGCCTCATGATAGTTAAAACTTCTCTCAGATGCTTCCAATGGTCCTCCAAGCAGGGACTATAATTCAGCATATCATCAAAGAACACTAATACTGATTTCTTGAGTAATGGCCTAAACACTTGGTTCATTAATGCCTGAAATGTAGCAGGGGCATTGGTGAAACCAAAGGGCATTACCTTAAATTCATACAGCACTTGATGAGTCCTAAATGTTGTTTTAAACTATTCCCCTTCCTTCATTCTTACTTGGTGGTACCCAGACCTTAAATCCAACTTGGAAAAACACACTGCACCTGCTAATTCTGAAAACAGATCTTCCACTAAGGGTATGGGGAATTTGTTTTTGACAGTGATGTTATTGAGTGCCCTATAATCCACACAGAACCTCCATGTATTGTCCTTTATTGGCACTAAAAGGACCGGATATGCAAAACATGAGGAGCTAGGGGTGATTATGCCAGCTGAGAGCATCTCTTCCACCATTTTCTCAATGGTTTTTTTTTTTTTTTTTTTTTTTTTTTTTTTTTTTTTTTTATCAAAGGAATATCTATAAGGGCCAATGTTGACTGATTTAGAATTGGGAAGTAAGGGAATGGTGTGGTCTAGGCTTCTGTTTGGGGGTAAGGTGGTGGGTTCTTGGAACAGATCCCTGAATTCATTGAGCAACTGTACCAGTTCTGGAATCATAATGTGTCCATTGGTGTTGTTAAGGCAAGGTTCACTGCCACATACATTGGTTGCCATAGACAAACATTACACCAGTAGCCCTTGCACCCCCTCCTTATGTCATTTCTTTACTTCTCTCTCAGAGGCTGCTTTCAACAAAACCTTTCTGCTGAGCCCTTTGAGGAATATCTTTTTCCCTTCTTTGTGAAAAGATATTCCTGGAGGCCTCGTGTACAATTGAATGGGAGCAAATTGATCAATTCAATCCATCCCCAATACCATATCACAACCTCCCATCCTTAAGAGTCTAAAACTCTTTACAAATTCCTCCTGTTGGATTTGCCAGCTAAGCCCTTTGCATTTTGAGTTACAGACCACTTTCTCTCCATTAGCCACAGTCACTACTAGAGGATTGGCTTGCTCAGGTTCCCTTCTCAAATGGTGTAGTAGCTGGGGATCAAGGAAACTGTGGGTACTGCCACTATCAACTAGGATCACTACAGGCTGCTTATGAATCATTCCCAACAATTTGGTAGTATTCAAACCCTCTCCTCCTACTACACCACAGATAGATACTTCTGCCACCTGCACCTGTTTCCCTTCTTCTAGCCCTACACACTCAG